TCGGGGCTGACCGCGGCGATCGCCTGAGCGCACGGCCCGGCCCCGCCGCCGCTCCCGCCGCACTCCCGGGGCTCTCGCCGCCCCACCGGGGGCTCCCGCCTCCCCCTTTTCCCCCCACCGCGTCCCCCCCGCTCTACCGCCTTGCCCCGCACCGGCCCCGCCGCGTGCACACCTCCGCTCAGGCAGCGCCGCGGACAGCCCCGCTGCAGGGCCCTCAGGGAGGCCGCGCGCCAGGCGAAAGCCCCCGGCAGAAGCCCCGCCCCCCGCGTCGCTATGGCGACGGTTCCCGCCACCTGCAGGCCACGCCCCCCTTAGGATGACGCAACGCGGCTCTGAACCAATGGCTTTATTGCGCGCGCGAGGGGCGGGGTCAGAGGTCGCCGGACAGGCTGATGGTGGCCAATGAGACGCTCTCGGTGGAGAGGCCCCGCCCCTTCTCGTAGATGAGGTACACCAGGGGGGTGGGGCCTTCCTCTTCGGGGGGCGGGGCCGCCAGCACCGAGTACCCGCTGGGCCCCTCCCACACGCGCAGGCCCCGCCCCCACCACGTGGTGCCGTTGTCGAAGCTCCAGCGCAGCGTCATGTTCACGCCTGGGGGCGGGGCCCATCGGGGACACGCCCACCAGGAGACGACGCCCCTTCTCAAAGCCCCGCCCCCTGCACCCCAAAGCGGGACTCCCCCCCCGAGCCGGGACAGCCGCTGACCTCTGACCTCTGACCCCGAAATGTGTCCCCAAATTGCCAAAATCCCGAGGTCAAATGTGCCCCCGTGTCCCCTCCGTGTCCCCCCCCGTGACCTTGTCCGTGTCCCCAAATGTCCCCCTCCATGTCCCCTCCGTGTCCCCAAATGTCCCCCTCCGTGTCCCCTCCGTGTCACCCTCATAGCCCTCTCCACGTCCCTGGTGTCCCCACAATGTCCCCGTGCCCCTGTCTGTGTCCCCGGTGTCCCCAATGTCCCCAATCCCCCCATGTCCCCAGTGTCCCCAGTGTCCCCATGTCCCCAGTGTCCCCAGTGTCCCCATGTCCCCAGTGTCCCCAGTGTCCCCATGTCCCCAGTGTCCCCAGTGTCCCCATGTCCCCAGTGTCCCCAGTGTCCCCATGTCCCCAGTGTCCCCAGTGTCCCCGTGCTCACGCTCGGTCTCGTGCGCGGGGTTGCTGAAGAGCACCAGCCCGTGCTGCGGCAGCGCCAGCGCGCCGGCGGCCACGGCGGGGTCGGGCAGGCCGGGCTGCAGGGTGACGCTGGCGGGGGACAGCGACTCGCCGCCGTCCCAGCTGCGGGCGCGCAGGCGGCAGTGGCAGCGGTACCAGCCCTGGTTGCGGATGCTCACGGCGATGGAGCCGTCGGGCAGCTCGTACGGCTGGGGGGGATCGGGG